GAGGAGCAAACGGAGAGGAGGGACGACTCAAGGAGAGGATAGAGGAGGAGGCGGCTGGAGGAGAAGAGAGAGGAGGATAGGTGCAGCGGAAGGTAGAGGGAGGAGGTGCGGCTGGGGCTGCCTTGTCAAACCCGCCACCCCCACACCCCTTCTCCTCCCCCCCACTCCCAACGCGGCACGCCCAGCAGATGCGGTTGCAGCGAGGAGGAGGAGGATAGGGGAGAGGCGGGGGGTTCAAGGGGGCTTTAGTACCCCTGCAGCCTCGGCTGCCAATCCCGCCACCCCCCTCCCCAAGTCTCTGCCGTTGCAGTGCGCGGCAGAGGGGAGGGCGGGGAGCAGGATGGCGCTGTCGGGGTCGCCAACGAACTTCGTTGGCGCTGACGCGGGCGGCTGCTGCCGTCGTCCCGCCACTCCCTTCCCCCCTTCATCCCCCTTATAGCTACCGCCCCCGCATGCGTTCAGGGGCGGGATGGGTGCGGAAGCGCACGGGGGCCGAACGGGGGGGCGGCAAAGGCGCAGCAGTGGGGCGACATGGCGACGAAGGGGCGGGGCGATGGGGCGAGACGAGGCGGCTGCGACGAACGGCGATCGCGCAGCTGCTGCAGCATTCGCACTGCATTTTGCGCTTGTCTCCCTGCTCGTCGCGGCGGTCGCCTTGCAGGCTGCCAGCAGCTGCAAACGAGCGTGAAGGAAAGCCCCCATGGTTCAAAATTTACCTAGGGCCTAGGATCCAAACACGGGCTCTGATAGCATGTTAAAGTCTGAACTTAGTTAGGTTAGGAGATTAGGAGCTAAGGAGCATTACGATGGTATCGAGAGGAAGAGAAGTTGGCCAAAGAGAGGTTCAATAATGAGAAACAGTACAAGGATATAGGCAAGGAAAAGGAGGTGCACCACCTATAGCAAATGATGACATACACTACAGTCTACACTGCAGACAGGGCTGACGTTTCATTTTAAGCTTCCCTGATTCCGGGGAAAAATTTCCCCCTCTATTATGGGTGCACATTTTCCAGAAAAGCAGTACCCTGATTGCTCAGGGTTGTAAAGTAGTTAACACTGATTGTTCAGGGTCGAGAACTGAACATCAGAGTAGTAACGCGCGCTTTGTTACCGGGGAAAATATCCCCTCTCCATAAAGTCTCGAAGTCTCGATCAGAACGAAGTTTCGAAGAAACTTCGTCTCGATAAAGCGGGAAGGGGGGGGATTACGCACATGTGGGGGGATCACTGCGATCAATCCAAGGCGGGGTCATCGGAAGGAAACTTCCGAGAAACTCCTTTTCGATAAGTCGGGGAAAATATCCCCACTCTCCATAAAGTCTCGAAGTTTCGATCAGAACGAAGTTTCGAAGAAACTTCGTCTCGATAAAGCGGGAAGGGGGGGGATTACGCACATGTGGGGGGATCACTGCGATCAATCCAATGCGGGGTCATCGGAAGGAAACTTCCGAGAAACTTCCTCTCGATAAGTCAGGGTCCACACAGTCTATACTCTGTTAAGTCAGGGTCCACTAACAGCCTAGTCTGTTACACTGTACTCAAAATCAGGGATAGCTAAACAATTACTCTGATTGGATCAGGGCTGGAAATTCAATAACTCTGAAATTTCAGTCTCCACGAAATGGAAAGCCTGAAATCACCCTGAAATCAGGGTAATTACCCTGATAAAATCAGCCCTGACTGCAGACATTTATACATAATCAGATAAATATATTCAAACAGAGGTTTGGTGAAACAGTGCGGGCGAAGTTGGCGAAGCCCCATTAGCAGTAACGGGCGAACAACGGCTGCTGCTGTACACGATGTGGACTGTCGCGGTAAGGAATAGCGAGAAAATTCCTTACACTTGGGTAGGTTCATACGCCATAAAGCCTATTTATGAATTGAGATGGACTGTTTTGCATTTTTCACCTTTGCAACCTTCTAGCAAGTCAGTTCATATCGGAACGATATGCAGGCTTTCACAACCTGCCAAGCCTTGTTGACCTCCCTTCCCCACAGGACTTCTTGAGCAAACTACACACAACATGCCTAGTCTGGTTGACCTCCATTCCACACGCGATTTCATCAGCGAACTATATCTCGCCAGAAACTTCCATTCCTTTGTTCGTTTTCCTAGCTACCTGCAGATACTGACCACGTCAGATCAGACCTGTAGTAGTATCCGACAGGCCACTTGACGGAGTCGTGGAACGAACTCAAGGAGTCCTTCGCATCGCAACGCATGACGATTTTTAAAAGCTTGAAGAAACCGAAACGTCCTTTCCTACTGCTATATACTTGAATAAACCCCAGCAGTTTCTAACAATCCCTTGCACCGCTACTAAACAGCTTGTTTTGTTTAGTGTATAGCACACCGTGACAGCGCCTGCGAAAACTTTCACTTGTCAAAATTCCTGCGTAAATAAATGAACACTTCCCGTCCCGAACCGCTTCAATCGCGACATCGTAGATTCCGAGTCAATCGTGAGGATTTATGCTTCTCTGTTTCACCAGCGAGAGCAGTATGATGAGAAGCACCATCCTCAGTCTCATGTATGCCCGTCTGTTTCACGAGCCCGTTTCTTGATCGTTCCATGCTTCCTCTCTCCTGTCCCGTCAACAAATGGAGCCTCGCCGTCTCTTCCCCGTCTTGATCCTGCTCCTGCTCTCCGTCTCGCTGCTTCCCCTCGCTTCCTCTCGAAGATTTCCGCTGCGGACTAAAGGTCACCCGAGGGCTAAAGGTCCCCCGAGGGATAAAGGTCCCCCGAGGGATAAAGGTCCCCCGAGGGCTAACGATCCCCCGAAAGCCCCAGAGCAATTCGACTGCAGGTTCGTCGGGACTTATCGAAGTACGCAGTAGTAAACGAGGTGTTAGTACTACTTCTAGGGTTGGAAATAAGTGAACAGGCTTGAGGCGGTGAACCAGGTTTCTCGTCTTTGTCCATGCATACCGGGTTTCTTGCTTGCGTGATTTGTCAATAATCGCGTCGATCTCGTGTATTGATCTCTCCGTTATTTCAGCAAGACGTTGTGGCCTGAGGTGATCGGTATGACGGGCGACGCGGCTCGCGCTTACATCCAGGCGTCTGCGCCGCAGTGCAACTGGAACATCGAGATCATCCCGAGCGGGAACACGGTTACCAGGGATTATCGCGACGATCGAATTCGCATCTTCGTGGAGAAGAATGGGGTTGTGCAGATTGTCATGGTTGGGTAAACAAAAGATTGAGATCCAATGTATTGTAATCGTCAAATTTGCAACCTCAAAATCTGCTCCAAAAGCAGCATGCCATAACGAAATATTGTGGAGCAATTGGAGGGATCTAGTCATCGCCAAGCCTAAACATTACATACAGCGAACGAAATCTTTTGTGGTCGCCAACGCTCTCGCTTGGTCATCGCAAGCAACCTCTCGTAACCAAGCAGCAAGCAACCCCATAAACCCTAGTTCAAGGCGTAAACCCCGTCAACTGTGGTCTCAATAGGTGTGAATCGCGAGATGCGTGAGGGTGTGCACAACCACTTGCTGAGCTGGCACGATCGAGCCATTCGCTGAGCCAGGAGAGGCCGCGCGCGCCACGGACATGACTCTCGCGCTCTCCGCTGTTACCGCCGCAACTCGTGTTCAGTCGCACCTCTGCGTGCACTCCGCGCTCCGCCAGCGGACGCATAAATTAATCACCCGATCGTCTAACAAATATACGAACGTATCCTTGAACGGATCGCCATTCACCAGGTCATTGAACGGATTGTCTAACGGATTGTCTAACGGACTGTCTAACGGATCTTTTAACGGATCGTCGCCGTCTGATTCTCAAACCCGCGCACTGGCTAGGTCTGACCGTCTCGTTGCCGGATCGCGTTCTGTCGCGACGCTAGTCGTTCCTCGTCGCGCGTTACTTTTCCCGTCGTTGCGGCATAGCCACCCGCCCAGGGCGCCGACTCCTGCTAGAGCTGTTCGGGTAATTTCGGAATTAACCCCAGATTTTGGAGGGAGTTCTGAGCAACCACCTTTTGGATCCTCGTTAAAAGCTTCCGTAGAATCTTCCGTAGAACCCTCCGTATTAGAAACCGCTGTAGCGCAGGGAGCACCCGTTAGGAAGCGGCGCGTGCGGACGTCGAAATCGGCCAGCGCGACTGACGGAGCTGCGGATGACGCGGCAGTTCCACGTGGCGGTGATTCAGTGATCCCACGTGGCAGCGAGTCGGTGAATGCTCTAGAGTCTTCCGTAGGCCAAGAAAGTGTTACGCGCGTAATTGGCAGGCGAGGACGACACGCGGCCAGTAACGAAACAGCTGGTAGCGAGGATTTAGGTGCGGGGACGGCTGCAGCCAGCGGAAGCGGAAAGCGGACGCGCGGCCGGCCGCGGAAAAAGGCGGAAGGGGGAACGGCGGAAGCGGAGAAACCGCCGTCCAACCTGAAGGCCGGGGCGGAAGGGAACGCGGGCGGAGGAGATTCAGCTGGAGCAGCGCTAGGGCTAGTAACAGGCTCAGGCTTGGGCTCAGGCTTGGGCTCAGGCTCGGGCTCATGCACGGTAGAGAAATCTGGCAGCAGACTAGTTGAGGGGAGAGTTGCAGCAGACGCTGAAGGTCCACCGAAATTCTTGGAGTCAAGTAAAACAACAGAAGCCGCTGTGATCGAAGAGAAAGCTGTAGCAGGTGCTGAAAGCGCACCGAAGAGTTTCGAATCAGCTAAGAAATCAGAAGCCACTGTGATCGAGGGGAAAGCTGTAGCAGACGCTGAAGGTGCACCGAAGAAGGCAGGGAAGGGTAGGTGGAGCGCGGACGAGCTCTTGCTGTCTCGCGGGCTGAGCACACAGGCTGTAGCAGCGCCCTCCCCGGCTGTAACAGGTCCCTCCCCGGCTATAGCAGCGCCCTCCCCGGCTGTAGCAGGTCCCTCCCCGGCTGTAGCAGGGAGAGAGTTTCAGGGTTTAAGATCTGCGTACGCTAAACGAGTTGGCTATAGCGCGGACGCAACGCGACGGGAGCGAGGTGAAGGAGGAGCGGCGGGCGGGATGAGAGGCGCCGCGACGGGCGGGGGAAACAGGGGGAGGCAAGGCGCTGGCGTGGCAGCAGGGGGTAGAGCGGAAAGAGCAGCGGATGGTCTCCAGGCTAGGGGGAAGGGCGGAAGGGGGAAGGGACGGGGCGGAGGCGGAGGCAGGGGAGAGAAAAGTGGAGGACCAGGCGGAGGAAAAGGCGGAGGGGGAGGCGGAGCGGTAGGGGGAGCGGGGGGAGAGAAGCTGGCGCAGAACAGGACAGCTTATCTGCAGGTGCTGGGGACGGGTATGGACACGGGGGATACCTCGCCCTGCGTGCTGCTGTTTTTTGAGCGGCTTCGCCTGGTGTTCAACGCGGGGGAGGGGCTGCAGCGCCTCTGCATTGAGCACCGCATCCGCCTCTCAAAGGTGGGCAGGGGTTTCAAGGTTTTAGCGTAGAGGTTCAGGGTTTATGAGGTTTGGGGACGGGTATGGACACGAGGGACACTTCCCCCTGCGTGCTGCTGTTCTTTGAGTGGCTGCGCCTGGTGTTCAACGCAGGCGAGGGGCTGCAGCGCCTCTGCATCGAACACCGCATTCGCCTGTCAAAGGTGGGCGAGGTTTTCGGGTTTTAGGAGGGGGAGGGGTGGGGTTAAGGGTTGGAGGCTGCGCCTGGTGTTCAACGCGGGGGAGGGGCTGCAGCGCCTCTGCATTGAACACCGCATCCGCCTGTCAAAGGTTGGCAGAGAATCAGGTTCAGGGTTTTGGGTTTCGAGTGAAGGTCACAGCTTCAGGTGTAGAGTCAGGGCTGGGGTTGAGGCTGCAGCGCCTCAACCAAGCACCGCATCCGCCTCTCAAAGGTGGGCAATGGTTCAGGGTTTAGCGTCTAGGATGAACATCGCATTTTGAGGCGCCTCAAAAGATCGCTTTTTGAGGCGCCTCAAAAGCGGTTCAGGGTTTAGCGTCAAGGATGAAGATCGCTTTTTGAGGCGCCTCAAAAGTGGTTCAGGGTTTAGCGTCTAGGATGAAGATCGTTTTTGAGGCGCCTCAAAAGATCGCTTTTTGAGGCGCCTCAAAAGCGGTTCAGGGTTTAGCGTCAAGGATGAAGATTAGGGCTTTGGTCAGGGTCTGGGGTTGAACGGCTGCAGTCACTGGTGTATTGGACAGAAGGTGACTTTTGAGTCGACTCAAAAGTCACCTCAAAGGTGGGCAATCGTTCAGGGTTTAGCGTCTAGGATGAAGATTAGGGCTTTGGTCAGGGTTTGGGGTTGAACGGCTGCAGTGCAGCCACTGGTGTATTGGACACAAGATTTGGCTCATTTAGGTGTCAATCCTAGTCCATCCGGACGAGATATTTCGTGTCAATGCAGCTGACTTACGCCCTGTTCTTGCCCCTTACTCCACCATTCCGCTCACCCGCCAATCTCCTCTCCTCCTCAACCCCATCAGGTGGACAAGATCTTTCTCTCCCGCATGTGCACGGAAACGGCAGGGGGGCTGCCAGGCATGCTGCTGACACCTGCCTCTTACCACCATCCCCCATCCACCTTCCCCCATCCCCATTCCGCCGTTTACCTTCCCCCTACCCTTCCTCCTCCCCCCTCCCTTGTTCATAACCCCATCAGGTTTACGAGATCTTTCTCTCCCGTATGTGCACCGAGACAGCTGAGGTGTGGCTGCCAGGCATGCTGCTGACAAGGCTTGCCTTTCTTCCTTCCTTCCCACTCCCAATCCCCCTTCCCCCATTTCCCCCCGTAACTCCCATCAGGTGGACAAGATCTTTCTCTCCCGCGTGTGCACGGAACCTGCTGGGGGGCTTTCAGGCATGCTGCTGACAAATGTTCCCCTTTCCTCCCCTCCCTGTCCCCCACCCTTCCCATGTGCCCATCCCCTCCTCTTCCCATCAGGTGGACAAGATCTTTCTCTCCGGCGTGTGCACTGAAACTGCCGGGGGGCTGCCAGGCATGCTGCTGAAAATATTTACCTTTCCTTTCCTTCCCCTCTCTCCCTTTGCTCCCCCCTTCCCTCCTCCTCCTTCCACCTTACTAAAACGTCATCAGGTGGACAAGATATTTCTCTCCCGCGTGTGCACTGAAACGGCAGGGGGCCTGCCAGGCATGCTGCTGACGATCATCCCATCCATACCCCTTCCCCTTGCCCCATTCTCCTCCTCCCATCCCCCTCCCCCTGTTCACAACCCCATCAGGTGGACAAGATCTTTCTCTCCCGCGTGTGCACCGAGACAGCAGGGGGGCTGCCAGGCATGCTGCTGACGCTCGCCAACACGGGGGAGACTGGCATTACTGTGAGTGAGGGTTTAAGGATCAAGTTTCTGGGGACAGGAGGAGGAGAGACGGCTGGGGGTTTGCCAGGCATGCTGCTGACGCTCGCCAACACGGGGGAAACGGGCATCACAGTAAGTGAGGGTTTAAGGATCAGGGCTTAGGGTTGCAGCAGCTATTACCTACACACCATCTTGTTCAGACGTCTCAAAAATCGACTCTGGCAAATACACCCTCCTGAGATGGGCATTCGGGTCATCACTTCCCGTTTACGTGGAATTTAATTGGCTGACTTCTCACTGCTTGAGTCGATTTTTTAACGTCCCAAAATCCGTCTCCTTACATGGGGATTTTACGTCTATGGAGTTGTTGGGACTTCTCAAAAATACCTGAAGATAACTGGCTTGACTCTTACTTTTTGAGTTGAATAGAAGATTTTAAACTCCCACTAAACACTAAAACCTCCATTTTACCCTCTCTCCTGCACTCCCTTTCTCCCCCTCCCCCTCCCCTCCTCCCTCCCATCCCCCAACCTGCTCCTCCCCTGTCTGCCAGGTGGACATCTGTGGGCCGTCGGATCTCCATCGGCTCTCAGCAGCCATGCGGTGCTTCGTGGGCGCAGCTTCGGTCCGAACCTCCAGCTTCGGCAGCAGCAGCCCTGGCCGTCAGTCTTACCCCCACGCCCCACTCCCTGCTTTCTACAACGCATCACAGCAGCCTCCGCAGCAGCAGCAGCAGCAGCCGCAGGAGCAGCAGCAGCAGGTGCAGGGTGGGGAAGGAGGGGCTATGAGGGGGGAACAGGCGGAAAGGGAGAGGGAGGGTGGGAGGGAGAGGGAGAGGGAGGACAAGAGTGCGTACATGGTGCATGATGATGGGGACGTGAAGATCACTGCTGTGCTGCTCCAACCAGCGGTGCCATCTGTGGCAGCAGAAAATGCTGCAGCAGCAGCAGGATTATCCATTTCCCTCACAACCACCGCGACGATCAGCAGCAGCATCGCCCTCCCATCGCCATCCGAGTCCCTCAAAGGACTGACCCTGTCGAATCTTAAGGGAGAGGGAGTGACAGGAGAGGGAGCAGCACGCACGAATCTTGCCAGCACCACGGACGCTCCCCTCCCCTCTGCCACGTCAGCCAAGCGCCCCAGCCCTTCCGGCCCTGCTGACGTCAGCAGCGGGTGGGACACAGTCAGCGCAGGAAACGAGAAAAGGGCGAGGGTAGAGGGAGAGAGAAAGGAGGAAGCGGCAAGGGGTTTAGCATCAGGAGCAGCAGCAGGGGTTGCGGCGTCAGTGGCTGCACGGGCAGCAGCAGCAGGAATGACGGCGGTGGTGTATGTGTGCGAGTTACCGACAGCAGCAGGGAAGTTTGACCCCAAGCGGGCTGCAGCCATGGGAATCCGCCCCGGGCCCAAGTACCGGCGCCTGCAGATGGGGGAGAGCGTTCCTAGTGATGATGGGAGCACCATGGTGAGTGCATGTGTGCATGTGTGCATGTGTGCATGTGTGCATGTGTATGTGAAGTGAAGGCTAGTGTGTTGCCGACAGCAGCATGGAAGTTTGACCCCAAGCACGCTGCAGCCATGGGCATTCGCCCGGGGCCCAAATACCGGCGATTACAGATGGGGGAGAGCGTGCCTTCTGATGATGGGAGCAGGAGGGCGAGTGTGTGTGTATAATGCGGTGCATGTGTGTGTAAAGCGGTGCATGTGTGTAAAGCGGTGCATGTGTGTGTAAAGCGGTGCATTAGTATGTGAGGGAGACACAGGGAGCAAGCGGACTGCAGCCATGGGCATTCGCCCGGGGCCCAAGTACCAGCGGCTTCAGATGGGGGAGAGCGAGCCGTCTGATGATGGAGGCAGGACGGTGAGTGGTGCATATAGGTTGGAGTGGTGGCTGTTGGGTTGGGAGTGTGCATTGCAGGCTGGGCGCAAGGCAGTAGCAGCCATGGGCATTCGCCCCAGGCCCAAGTACTGGCGGTTGCAGATGGGGGAGAGCGTGCCTTCTGATGATGGGAGCACCATGGTGAGAGTGTGTGTGGGCGGGGTGTGTGTGTATGGGAGCGCCGACACGCTATAAGATGCTTTTCGTGCCTCTCCGCTCTGCGCTTCTTTCTGTGTTCCTCTCTGCCCTGCCCTCCGGTTCGCCCTGACATCCTTGAAAGACTAATCCTGATAATTGCATACCGTCTTACGCTCTTGCTTGCAAGCTGTCTTAAGCTTTTATGTGCAATCTTCCTCAGTGCCCTCTCTGCCCCGCTTTCTCCTTTTTATCCCTTTTCTCCCCTGCAACTTGTGCCCTTCCTCCCTTGTGCCCTTCCTCCCTTGTGCCCTTCCTCCCTTGTGCCCTTCCTCCCACACTTCAGGTTCATCCTTCTGACGTCCTCGAAGCATCCATCCCAGGGCCCGTTGTCCTCCTTATAGACTGCCCCACTGCAAGCCACACGCAAGCCCTCTTGCAGTCGCCGCAGCTGCAGCGATTCTGCATCAGCCACCGCCAGAAACCCACAAGTGACAATAACGGGGATGACAATATGAAGGGTGACAATAACGGGAGTGACTATAAAGAGGTGACAGTGGCTGTCCACGTGAGCCCTGAAGCTGTTGTGGAGGAGGAGCAGTATCGGCGGTGGATGGGCATGCTGGGTCCAAACACCACTCATGTGTTAGCAGGGCATGGCAGGTAAGCTTTCGAAAGCACTGCACATGTACTGGCAGGGCATGGCAGGTAGAGCAGTACCGGGGGTGGATGGGCATGCTGGGTCCCAACACCACTCATGTGTTAGCAGGGCATGGCAGGTAAGCACATGGGAGGTAAGGGCAGAGTAGTTACACAGAGGAGGTGTGCGTGTGCTTGCAACAGTGGCACAGCGGCATGGCACGTGAGTCCAGAGGGGGTGGTGGGGGTGTGCTTGCAAGCACGCGCAGCACTGCCACTGTTGCAAGCACAGAGGAGGTGTGTGTGCTTGCAACAGTGGCACAGCGGCAGTGCACGTGAGCCCAGAGGAGGTGGTGGAGGAGGAGCAGTATCGGAGATGGATGAGCATGCTGGGGGCTAATACCACCCATGTGTTAGCAGGGCATGGCAGGTAAGCGCATGGGAGGTAAGGGCAGAGTAGTTACGCAGTGGTCTGGCGTGCGTGTGCTGCTCAGGCAGTGCACGTGAGCCCAGAGGCGGTGGTGGGGGAGGAGCAGTATCGGCGATGGATGGGCATGCTGGGTCCCAACACCACTCATGTGCTGGCAGGGCACGGGAGGTAAGCATATGGCATGTGGTGGTTGGGGTTGATTGACAGGTAAAGTGGTGGGGGAGGAGCAGTATCGGCGATGGATGGGCATGCTGTGGGCTAATACCACCCACGTGCTGGCAGGGCATGGCAGGTAAGTAAGCATTAGAGCTTGCCAGTGCCCACCGGTGCTAGCGGCCAGTGCAGCTCTGACAGCCAAGCCGCTGCACTACGTGTGTCTGCACCTCTTCCCTCTTTTTAAACCAGACAACCGCAAACCTCCTTTCTGATCCCCCTTCATCTCTCCCCCTCCTTTCTTCTGCAGAGCCTTCGAGTGCCCCCCTGTGCTAGCGGGCAGTGCAGCCCTGACAACAAAACTCCACTATGTGTGTCCGCACCTCTTCCCTGAACCTTACGATCACACACTGACAAGAAGGGCAGCGGAAGCAGCGGCAGGACCATCAGGAGCTACAGCAGCATCACAGAAGTATGACCTAGAGGTGAGTGTAACAAACTCCACTACGTGTGTCCGCACCTCTTCCCTGAACCATACGACCACACAATGACAAGGCAGTCAGGGGAAGCAGCAGGAGTAACATCAGCAGCAGCGGCAGCACAAAAGTATGAGTTGGAGGTGAGTGGGCTTTGAGACGTCTACGTGTCTCCGCACCTCTTCCCTGAGCCGTACGACCACACGTTGGCAAGGAGGACAGGGGAAGCAGCAGCAGGAGCATCTGCAGCAGCACAAAAGTATGAACTAGAGGTGAGTGGTTTGAGTTTTTCATCGCCTTCCTCCCACCGCTCCCTCCTCTCGAAGCCTGATTCACCTCCTCCTTTACTCCCTCTTTCCTCGCACACTCCTTGCAACCTCCTCAGCCTGTGGGAGGTTGGTTGGGGGAATTGGGGAGGGGGGATCGAAACCTCCTCAGCCCGTGCAAGCACTCTGCGACCTCTTCTCACATCTAGGTCCACCGTCCACCTCGCCTTCTTTGTTGAAATTGGTCGGTTTTGATCCGCAGCAAGCCTACTAAGAGTTTACGGAAGCTCTATAGAACTAAGGCGAGGGAAGTCGTAAGTAAGGTCTTTTAGTCAGAACGCCAGGCACACATAAGGCCCGGATGTCGTGTGCGAACGCGTTTCGGCCAACTAAGGCCTTTATCAGCACACCTTTCTTGCAACCTCCTCAGCCCGTGCAAGCACTCTGCGACCTCTTCTCACCGCTAGGTCCACCGTCCACCTCGCCTTCACCCTCCTCAGCCCGTGGGAGGTTGGTTGAGGGAATGGGGGGGAGGGATCGAAACCTCCTCAGCCCGTGCAAGCACTCTGCGACCTCTTCTCACATCTAGGTCCACCGTCCACCTCGCCTTCACCCTCCCCCCACCTTCTCCCTTTGAGAATTCTCAAAATGGACCTCCTCTCGCTCAGCATAATTGCCACGTAATAACAGAGAGTTTTTGAGACCACTTAAAAAAACGTGGCTTTTTTCGAGTTTTTTTCTTTCTTTCTTCTTTTTACTCTCTGTTTCCACGTGGCTGTTGAGAATTTTCTAATCGGACCTCCCCTCGCTCGGCACGATTCTCCTCTCCTCCTCTCGCCTCTTGAGCCTCGCACCTCGACCGTCCACCTCGCCTTCACTCTCTCCCCACCTTTTGAGGATTCTATAGAGCACCTAGTAGGTGCCATGGTTTCAATACGTGGCAGCAACTCTTAGGGATTGACATCTCCACCGTCCACCTCGCCTTCACTCTCTCCCCACCTTCTCCCCTCCTCAGCCCATGCATTGTCTCCTCAGCCCATGCATTGTCTCCTCAGCCCATGCATTGTCTCCTCAGCCCATGCATTGTCTCCTCAGCCCATGCATTGTCTCCTCAGCCCATGCATTGTCTCCTCAGCCCATGCATTGTCTCCTCAGCCCATGCATTGTCTCCTCAGCCCATGCATTGTCTCCTCAGCCCATGCATTGTCTCCTCAGCCCATGCATTGTCTCCTCAGCCCATGCATTGTCTCCTCAGCCCATGCATTGTCTCCTCAGCCCATGCATTGTCTCCTCAGCCCATGCATTGTCTCCTCAGCCCATGCATTGTCTCCTCAGCCCATGCATTGTCTCCTCAGCCCATGCATTGTCTCCTCAGCCCATGCATTGTCTCCTCAGCCCATGCATTGTCTCCTCAGCCCATGCATTGTCTCCTCAGCCCATGCATTGTCTCCTCAGCCCATGCATTGTCTCCTCAGCCCATGCATTGTCTCCTCAGCCCATGCATTGTCTCCTCAGCCCATGCATTGTCTCCTCAGCCCATGCATTGTCTCCTCAGCCCATGCATTGTCTCCTCAGCCCATGCATTGTCTCCTCAGCCCATGCATTGTCTCCTCAGCCCATGCATTGTCTCCTCAGCCCATGCATTGTCTCCTCAGCCCATGCATTGTCTCCTCAGCCCATGCATTGTCTCCTCAGCCCATGCATTGTCTCCTCAGCCCATGCATTGTCTCCTCAGCCCATGCATTGTCTCCTCAGCCCATGCATTGTCTCCTCAGCCCATGCATTGTCTCCTCAGCCCATGCATTGTCTCCTCAGCCCATGCATTGTCTCCTCAGCCCATGCATTGTCTCCTCAGCCCATGCATTGTCTCCTCAGCCCATGCATTGTCTCCTCAGCCCATGCATTGTCTCCTCAGCCCATGCATTGTCTCCCTCTGAACCCGATCGTTCCCTCATTTTACCTCCACGTCCCCTTTTCCACCCTCTTTCCTGCCACACTTTCCCCACCTCCCCACTTGGCCCCGTGTCGTCGCCCTTCTTTCACCCCCTCCTCATCTCCAAGCCGAATCCTCTCCCCCTTATTGCTCTCTTTCCCTCCAACCTCCCCCACCCTGTAACCCCCAGAGCCTGTGAATGGGCTCCACTCGCCCCATCGTCATCTCTCTCCCCCTCCTCTCACCACCTCTCCCTTCTAAGCCAAACTCACCTCCCTTTGTTCACCCTCTTACCTCCCACCAACCTCCCCCACCCTGTGACCTCCACAGCCTGTGAATGGTCTCCCGCTCGGCCCGATTGTCATTGCTCTTTTGCTCGTTTGAATTCACCTCCTCTTATCTCCCACCAACCTCCCCCACCCTGTGACCTCCACAGCCTGTGAATGGTCTCCTGCTCGGCCCCATTGTCATTGCCAAGAACCTTCTCAAGGTCAGTGTGCCTTCCACGAACCTTCCTCCTGTTTCTTCCTATCAGATTCATTTTTTTTATTCGTGTCGCTCCTGTTTTAGATTAGCAAAATGACCCGTTTTAGATTAGTGTGCCACCACACTACACTGCCACCCTTTTCCCTTTTCGTCAGGAGTCACGTGTAGAAAGTGTGACTTTTGAGAATTCTCAAAAGACGCACCTATATAACTGCCACCCTTTTCCCTCCTCGTCAGGAGTCACCTGTAGAAAGTGTAGTTTTGAGACGGCGCAAAATGACCGGTGCCACCACACTACACTGCCACCCTTTTCCCTCGTCAGGAACTAACGAAAGGCCTCGTGAGAAGAGACAAGGGTGGTTTCGAGACATCTCAAAACCACCCTTTTCTCACAGTGCCACCCTTTTCCCTCATCAGGAACAAGCATAAGTCTGCATCTGTGACATCTCAACTCAATCACCTCCCTCCCATTCCCCCCCATCCCTTCAACCTTTTCTCCTGCCCCCCCAACCAACCTCCCATCTGTGATATGCCTCTATCCTAGGAGTTTACACGTCAGCAATGCCCCTCCAACAACCCCCCCTTCCCCCGCCCCCAACAGGTCAACCTGCGAGGTGCCCCTATTTTGGGGGTTGACGCGTCAGCAGTGCCGCCCGCATTCAATGCCATGACCACTGTTCACCACCTGCTGCGGAGTATTCCAGAGCTTGAGGAAGCTTCCAGGAAGGTGGCTGCGGACTGGGGGTTGAAGAGCAAGGAGAAGGAGGGGGGGAAGGAGGGGGAGAAGGAGGGGGAGAAAATGGGAGAGGTGGAGGGAGAGAGGATGGGAGATGCACCAGTGTGCATTCGAGGCATGGGCAGGGAGGAGGTGGAGGTGGTGTTTCTCGGCACGGGGTCATCCCAGCCGTCCAAGTACCGCAATCTCAGCGGCATCTACGTTCACAGATTCGACCGGGGAGGCATGATTCTGGACTGTGGGGAGGGGAGCTACGCGCAGCTGACCAGACGGTGAGTCAGTGGGTGGTGTGTGGATCATCCTTGCGTGTGGGACTGTGGGGAGGGCAGCTACGCCCAGCTGACCAGACGGTGAGCCAGAGTGTGGGATCTATTGGTTCATGCTGTTTTTTTTAGTTCTGAAAGATCAGATTCAGCATTTTTTGGGTCATCCTTGCATGTGGGACTGTGGCGAGGGCAGCTACGCTCAGCTGACGAGAAGGTGAGTCGGTGTGTGGGTTGGATGGACCGTCCCTTGCATGTGGGCTTGGGCAAGACATCTGGGTTGGTTGAGCCAAGGCATATACGTTCTCAGATTTGACCGGGAGGCATGATATTGGACTGTGCGGAGGGCAGCTACGCGCAGCTGACCAGACAGAAGGTGGGTGGATGAGGGAAGGGGGATTGTTTGTTGAGTGTGTGGGCAGGTGCGTCGCTGGGCTCAGTGGGCTCAGGCAAGGCATGTATGTGTCCCAGTTTTCTCTGGGCAAAATTCTAGTGCCCTATGAATATATATGTTGAATGTAAGATTTTTCATTGACTGTCCAGTTTTACAACTGTATTGTTTCATTTGTTCTTTCAGGTTCGGGCCAGAAAAGGCGGAGGATATTATAGCGGGTTTGCAGTGTATTTGGATTTCTCACATTCACGCGGACCACCACACGGGACTCGTCAGAATTCTTGCTGCCCGGAGAGACATTCTTTTGCGCCGGGCAGCTCAGCGGGCAGCTGAACGGGCACGTCCTGGAACAAATTTCCAGCAAACGTTTGAGAAGATTGAGACGGAGGAAAAGGACAAGGATGCTACAGTGTCAGTGCCGCCCATTCTGGTGGTCGGCCCGAAGCAGCTTCGGCGGTATCTGGAGGCGTATCAGACGTTTGAAAGCCTCCACTTGACGTTTTTGGACTGTAGCCAGACGACGAGGGATGCCGCCGCTCTTGCAGCTAAAGCAGGAACAGCAGCAGGAGGAGCAAGGGAAACAAGGGAAGAAGCAGGAGAAGTGGCACGTGGTGTTGCTTCTGCTAGGGGATTTGATGCGGGGATGGAGGAAGGTGATGGAAGGGAGCAGTGTGGACTTATCTGGCAAAAGGAAGCTCTGTCTAAGCAGCAGCAGTCAGGGGGTTACCAACTAAGGCCTGAATCAGCAGACAATCGAGAGGGCAGAGAGAGGGAAATGAGGGGCCTGCGGCCCTTCTGGCTCAAAACAGGGTTCCACCTGGAAGACGGGGGGCTGGACGAGCTGGGCAGGCAGCAGCTGGGGGAGGCGTTATCTGCGCTGGGGCTGACCCGGCTGGAGAGTGTCCCTGTGGTGCATTGCCCCCAGGCGTTTGCTGTTGTGCTGGAGGGGCGGGTGAAGGGGCGAGAGGGAGAGAGAGGGGGAGGAGGAGAGGAGGGAGATTCTTGGAAGCTGGTATACTCTGGTGATACTCGCCCGTGCGATACTGTGAGGGCTGCGAGTCGAGGAGCCACGGTGCTGATTCACGAGGTGAGTGGTTAATGTTGCAGCTGGGAAAGGTGTTATCTGGGGTTGCTGGGGGAGGCGTTATCTGCGCTGGGGCTGACCCGGCTAGAGAGTGTCCCTGTGGTGCATTGCCCCCAGGCGTTTGCTGTGGTGCTGGAGGGGCGGGTGAGGGGGCGAGAGGGGGGGAGTGAGAAGGGGAATGAGGAGGAAGGTTCTTAGAAGCTGGTGTACTCGGGTGATACTCGCCCGTGCGATACGGTGAGGGCGGCTAGTCGAGGAGCTACAGTGCTGATTCACGAGGTATGCTGGGGCAGGTGTTATCTGGAGGAGGTGTGAGCTGGGGGAGGCATTATCTGGGGAAGGAGTGAGCTGGGGAAGGTGTTATCTGGGGAAGGAGTGAGCTGGGGGAGGTGTTAACTGGGGAAGGAGTGAGCTGGGGGAGGTGTTATCAACGCTGGGCTGACAAGGCTAAACAGTGTTCTCGTAGTGCATTGCATTGCCCCCAGGCGTTTTGAGACGTCTCAAAACACTTCTTCAATCACATTGCCCCCAGGCGTTTGCGGTGGTGCTGAAGGGGCAGCAGAGGTGGTAGAGGTGGGTACCCCCCCCCCCCAGCACCAGTACCTTCCTCACCTTCTCCCTTAGCAGTGAGGTGATTTTTGAGGCGCCTCAAAAATCACCTTACCTCCCCAGCTCCAATAGCTTCGTCACCTTCTCCCCTTCCATCCCGTCCATCCCTTTCCTTCCCACATTTCCAGGAAACCTTGAGTTTGATTTTCAGCACGAGGCCATAGCGAGAAGACACAGCACAACGAGTCAAGTGGGGGAGGGTACCACTGCCTTCCTCACCTTCTCCCCTTCCATCCCTCCCATCCCTCCACACACACCCCCAGGCAACCTTTGAGGATGATTTGCAGCACGAAGCCATAGCTTGAAAGCACAGCACGACGAGTGAGGCGGTAGGGCGCCTCTGCTGCTATCCTCACCTTTTCTCCTCCCCACCCCACCCCTCAACCCACCCGTGCACACACACTTTCAGGCAACCTTTGAGGATGATTTGCAGCACGAGGCCATAGCTCGAAAGCACAGCACGACAAGTGAGGCAGTCGAGGTGGGCGCCTCTGCCCCCGCCTATCGCACCATTCTCACCCACTTCAGCCAACGCTACCCCAAAATCCCCCGACTGGCCCCTCCGGTGAAAAGTAAGAAGAGAGCGGATGGTGGTGTGGGCGGTGAAGATGTGGAGGGAGGTGAGATTGGGAGTGCTGCGATTGCGTTTGATCTGATGTCGGTGAATTTTTGTGACTTGCCGAGGCTGCCCGAGTTGGTGCCTGTTTTCCAGCTGCTGTTCAGGGATGCGTTGGAAGAGGAAGACGAGGAGCAAGAGGAGTGAGAATGAAAGGGATTCATCTAGCAAGAGTTTCAGTTGGAGATTGAATGTTTTTTTCTCAATATTTGTTTTTCCAATGTGTAGCCTTGGTTCGAATCTGTACACGTCTGAACTCTTTATTGCTATGGAGCTTGAGGTGCAGTTGTCCTTCGTGGCATTCTTGCTTGTCTCCTCAAGCGGCTGACACTGCCGAATTGCAGTCGGTCAACTGTTTGCTTTTGTCGGTGGGCGAATGGTAGAATGCCACGGATGTGACTCCAGGAACGCCACGACTTCCTGCGATCACGACAGAAATTTTACAGCGAGTCGCTTTGTGCTTTGGCAGGTGGGCTAGTGATGGAGCCCACCAGCAGCTCTTGAAAGTATTTTTGCTGACCGACAGCAGATTAATTTTCTCAATTTCACACGTTCTTGGCACACGCTCGAATGTAGAGTGGTGAAATTGAGAATCCACCTGTAAGTACAGTAGCACTTACGGCCCACACCCAGGTTGCGTTTGTGGGACGCGGGGTGGAGGGGAAGGCCAGATTTCGTGGCACTCATCCGTAAAGGGGGCTCCAAAATGGAACCGATAGTTCCCAGAATGGAAAGACGCACGAAATGCTTCCAGAATGAACAGCTTTCTGGAAGCCTTCATCACCTTGGATCTTCTAATTCGTGCGTGAGTGAGAGTTCTGCTTGCCCTTGGCCAGATAAAACCTCTAGAAGCGTCTCAGCTCTTCTAAACCGCATTCCATCCTTCTCTTTGCTCTCTCATTCTCTGTCCACTTTCATTTCCACCATTCTCTAGATTCCTTCATTCGTGTCTCCTTACAGAAAGGTACAGAACACACTTCCTGAAAATGATGACCAACAACAACCACTCCACATTGCTGCATGGCGTGTCGTGTTGTCACCCACAACATCAATCAACGCTTGTTTGATACGTAGCATGCCTGGCAGGAATCTACGAAAATACAGGGCCGCCCTCTTTCGACGCGGTGACAACTGGATCCCATGCCAATCGCATCGCATTACAGCAGGAGGAATCCTGAATCAAAAGTCGGTCAGAAGCAATTCCCGCATCATCAGGCCGACTTGGCGTCGAATTTGGTTGTCCACACAAGTGAAGTCCGCGGCATCATTGTGCTTCCGCTAATGACGGGAAAGGAACAAACTTTACAGCAGCTGTATTTAGCTAGACTCACTGGCGAAGAGGTAGCTGACAGTCAGTTCAGTAGTACAAACAATTTGGCTTGTTCGTCAAATTCCGCCGCAATCATCATCCTTCCATTCCGTACTATCGTACAATTTCATGCAGCGAGACAAGTGCTTGGCGGCGTGCTTCAACTTCCTCCCAAGGTCAAACCTCTCTTGACACCCTACCTTAGTTCCGACAACAACCTTGGGATTAACGCGTTAATTCACCACGCGTGCAGTGCTTTACAGCCACGCTGAACACTGACAGCCCGCCCTCGTATTGCGCTCTTGTCCTACTAAGCACCTTCTTTAGGCTGGCACACTATGAATTCGGACTGTAACAACGAGGTTGCAAGCGACTTTCTGGCTAATCGTACGGCAACGTGACGGGCCCACTCACCACGATCGCCGACAACACCGCCAAATCTATCTTCTCCTCTCGAGACATCAACAACCACCCACTACGCCTCACACCCGCGCAATCGAACCACCAACGAGAGCGGGAACGCAGAGATCCAGTCTCCGACAATATTGCTGAAATTTGTAACTTTTCTGCGACGCTTCCGGTGGCGTGGGTGCTGACGACAGCCACGTGGGAGTCTGGCCAGGGGTTCCGCCGTGGTCGCCGCACATTTCCCAAGGGAGCAGAAACGCGAGATTTTGACGCTGCTGCTCCCGTCCAACGCGGGTACGTACTCTTCCAAGCAAGCAGTGGGGGAGTCACAACTACTAGCGATTCCGGGCCATTGCTGAGAATCTCCCAACTCCGTCCATTTCCCGTGCTTCACGCAGCACTTCAGCCCAACCGTTGCTCAGGAGGATCATCTATGCCGCTGTGTGCGTGTGATGTATCGCCGACGGCACCCAACCTCGGATCAAAGCTGTTAAACCTTCGGTTTGGCGGCACCCACCCTCTCGGATCAAGAGATGCTGGCACTCTACCTTCTCGTATGAGATGAGCAAAGGCCAAGTCGGTGTGATACTACAAGCTACTTGAGGTGTGCCGATGGTGATCATGTGATCATCGCAAAACTCACTGGCGTGCTGCGCGAGGCTTCGGCGCCGTGACCAGAAGAAGCAGTCGCACAGTTTTCCTTCGCAACGGTACGACAAGTGCTGCGAAATCCACGATCAGCTGACGATAAATAGGCGACGTCCTGCTGTTGAAGATCTAGAAAGTCTAGAAAAATCTCTTCAAGCTGCGCCAAACGCCTCTGCCCCTAGGACCGTACACTCCCCAAGTGTAATAAGCAGCGCTCGTAAACAGCAGCCCTCCTACACAACGACACTCCTAATCAGCGACGGTCCGCGGCGGCGCGCCGCCTTAAGCAGCAGCGGCGCGCAACGGGCTCCAAAACATTTGTGCGACTAAGCAAATCAGTGCTGGTCTGCAGTGTGGAAGGCGTCAGTTTCGCTCTCCACTCGCACCGTTTCTGGTAACAGAGCATTTAAAGACTCGCCGGGACACGAGTAGAAGCAGAGCCCTACTGGACGCAGCGGACGTGATAAGGGTTACGTCGTGAGCGTCGTGCAGCAAAACTTAGTTCATGAGACTACCAACAGCAGTCGCCGCGTCAACGATTTAGCACCTCTAGAAAAATGAACCGCCTCCCTCCGATCGCCAGTGGGAGTCCGAGCCTGAGCCAGGAATCGAGTCCGAACCAGAGTTCGAGCCTAAGACCGAGCCTAAATCAGAATTCGAGCATAGACCAGAGTCCGAGCCTGGACCAGAATCCAAGCCTGAACCGGAATCCGAGCCTGAAGCAGAGTCCGAGCAAGAGTAATGATCAGAGTCGAAATCAGAATCGAGGTCAGGGTGAGAATCGGAGTCGCAATCGCAGCAACGACAGTCTTCTAGCTAGCATTCTACTGCAGCGACATGCGAACCGCATGCGACTCGATGCCTTCGCCGCCGCCGCCGAGCGAGAGAGCCTCAGCGGCCGCGGCGGCGGAACGGATTTCGCCGCACCTTTCGCGATACGCAGCGACGGAGCAGATCACGCCGCGGCGCTTGGTCTTAGGACCACCCTAACGGCTTCATCGCCAACTATCCAGACGGGAGCCGCCGGGTTCGAAACAAATCAGGCGAGACAGCACGTGCCGCAGCAATCCCAAGGTCCACCCGCGCAGGAATTCCAGGCACCGCAACAGGGACCGGCGCGGCAGGAGATTCAGGCGGCGGAACAGCAGCACTTGCTAGCGCTGGTTCTAACTGGGGCGCAGCTGCTGCAACACGAACAGCTGCAGTTGCAAGAACGAGTGGATACGGAGCAGAAGCAGCAGCTACAGCAACGAGGAGAGAGAAATGATGGAGGTTTTAGCACAAGAGAAGTTGCTTCGGCGGGGCAGTACGCGGAGGTTTTTGAAACCCTAGCCAGCTGTGGAAGGTTTGCGGACGAATCACAGCAACGTGTCCCCGTCTCAAGGTACGTTCCGTTATTCCCTTTAACATGCTTCAAATATGATTGCATGAGATATGGTAGATTCAGATCGGCTGCTGCCATTGGAATCATAGAGGGACATGTAGCTGATGAATCATTGCGTTATGCTTCACCTGTGTTCACATCATTCATATTTCAACACATTTTCTCATTGCGATCGTCCCTTCATCCAGACACGGCAGTACGGTAATGGCTCATACGGATATGTTAATGGGTCATATGGCAAGCGAAACGCCTGCCCAAGCGCTAAAGCATGACCACCGACACACAAGTGCATCTGTTTCTTCTCCAACAGGTGACATGTTTGAGCATACTCCATGACACCCATGGACATTTTTCCTCTATTATACAAGTTGTTTGTATCTATTTGTTATATACAAGTTGTTTTATACCTCTCCAAATTTTTATCAGTAAATCCTTATGTTCCGTTGCGTTGATTCTTTTCTTGGCAACGTTAGACATACGGTTTTCTCTTCCCTCTCATGCCCTCCTCTGTCACAGGGAATTCAGCAGCTGCCTCTTTCCAGCATCTGTACGGCCAGGCAAGGCCCATCTTAGACTCGCGGACGGCCACGATACATCCGCAAGCACTGCAGCCTTCAATACCGTCACAGCTTCCTCATAATGCGAGGCTTAATGCGCCCAGAAACGAGGCACTGCAATCCCGCCACAATTTGCAACCTTCCGTACAGTCACATTCCCCTTATAATTCACCCTTCGGTGCAACAGCCAATCAGCTTCCACCTCTGAGAAGTCTTCCAGCAGCCCGGGCCCCGATTGGTCCAACTCCATTCGCCTCTGAACAACCTGTACCGACGCAACCACTCGCTCAATCGGTGCTTGTTACAGGGTTACCAGGGCAGTTGTTACAAGGTGGGTTGCTACGGAGTGGGTTATTACAAGCGGGGTCATCATTTCTGCAAGATGGGTCATTACTACAAAGTGGGTTGTTACAAAGTGGTTTGTTACAAGGTGGGTTGTTACAAGGTGGGTTGTTACACAGTGGTTCGTTACTGAATGGGTTATTACAGGGTGGGTTAGAAGGCAGAGCGTTCCCAAGGGGGCTGTTACCAGGTCCACAGTTACCAGCAGGAGGGTTACCAGCAGGAGGGTTACCAACAGGAGGGTTACCAGCAGGAGGGTTACCAACAGGAGGGTTACCCGAAGGAGGGTTACCAACAGGAGGGTTACCCGAAGGAGGGTTACCAACAGGAGGGTTACCAGAAGTAGGGTTACCAGCAGGAGGGTTACCAGTTGAAGCATTACCAGCCTCAGGGTTACTGGTGGGTGGGTTACCAATGGGAGGGTTACGAGCAGGAGGGCTAACAGCAGGGGGGTTACGAGCAGGAGTATTACCAGCGGGAGGGTTACCAGCAGGAGAGTTAGCAGAACGAGGGTTTCAAGCAGGAGGGTTACCAGCAGGAGGGTTACCAGCACGAGGGTTACTGTCAGGAGGGTTACCAGCAAGAGGGTTGCCAGGAGGAGGGTTTTCAGCAGGAGGGTTGGCAGCAGGAGGGTTACCAGCAGGAGGGTTACCAGCAAGAGGGTTACCAGCAGGAGGGTTGGCAGCGGGCAGGCTTCCAGGGAAAGGGTTACCAGCGGAAGGGTTACCAGGAGGAGGGTTCTCAGCGGGAGGGTTACGAACGGGAGGGTTACGAGCAGGAGGGTTACGAGCGGGAGGGTTGCGAGCAGGAGGGTTACCAGAAGGAGGGCCACCAGGAGGAGGGTTACCAGCAGGGAGGTTAGCGGCGGGAGGGTTACCAGCAGGGGCGTTACCAATTGAAGGGTTACGAGCGGGAGGAGGAGGAGGAGGAGGAGGAGGAGGAGGAGGAGGAGGAGGAGGAGGAGGAGGAGGAGGAGGAGGAGGAGGAGGAGGAGGAGGAGGAGTTGGAGCACGGAGGGGAGGAGCAACACTCTCGCAGAAAAGCAGGATTGTTTCGCAAGAAACGAGATCCATGCAAATAACCGGATCAGTGCAAGCAAGGGGATCGGTTCAAGAAAGGGGGTCGGTGCAAGCAAGGGGGTCAGTGTGCTATCCAGTTGCTCCTGGCTGGTCCTTAGAAAGTGAAGTGATTCCCCCAGAAAATGACCGGAGAAGCAATGCAGCTGGAGAGGCAGGAGAATCAGGAACAGGAGGTTATGTGTCAGCCAAAGTGGGAAGACCGGCGGTAGAGGGGAATCTGGGTAGGAAGGTGCAGCAATCAGGGTCGTTTCCGCTGGGAGAACCACTGGAGTCTAGAAATCAGAGTGGAGCCAATCACCTGGGTGCATCTGGATATATTGGTGTAGTGAGTCGATTTTTGAGTCGACTCAAAAATCGATATCCTGCCTTATCCGCATTTCCTGCTCAATCACTACTTCTTTCCCCACGGCCACTTGTCTCCCTTCGACCAGCTCTTTCCCCCCAACTGATTCTACCTGCACGACCGATGCGTGAGGCCCCTCCGAAGGCTCGTTCCCCATTGCCGATCCTACCTGCACGGTCGAAGGATTGCAAGTTAGTCTCCCCTCGTTATAAGAAACTTGCGCTCTCTACAGGGTCTGGCACCAGTGGCAGCAGCAGCGGCAGTCACTTGGCTGGGGCGACAGGGCAGCCAATCACCTCCAGCCACGTGGCAGTGGTGGGAACAGTGGCTGTGCTAGGGCATGTACATGCTGCGTTGAGGGAGGAAGTGGGGGAGAAAGCAGGGGGAGAAGGGGGGTTGGTGGCGGAAGGAGGAGAGGAAGAGGGGGTGGTAGCGGGAAGGGGGAATGAAGGAGGGGAGCAAGGAGGGTTGGTGGAGGAAGGGGGAAAGGAAAGGGCAGTGGGAGGGGAGTTGGTGGCGGAAAGGGTAGAGGAAGGAGGGGAGGAACGGGGGTTGGCGGCACGAGGGGGTGATGAAGGTGGGGTGGTGGCGCAAGGAGGGAATGAAGGTGCCACTCATGCAGGCAGACGTGGCATTCAGGCGGGCAGTGGTGCATCTGATAATTCTCGCCGAAACAGAAGGTGAGAGCTAGCGCGCTTCCTTCATCTACCCTCTCTCCTCTCTCCTCTCTTTCCTCTTTCCTCGATCCCCTCTCCTGTCTCCAGCGGAATGTATTGTAACCAGCGATGTTGGTTATAGCCATGTGTGTGTGTGTGTGTGTGTGTGTGTGTGTGTGTGTGTGTGTGTGTGTGTGTGTGTGTGTGTGTGTGTGTGTGTGTGTGTGTGTGTGTGTGTGTGTGTGTGTGTGTGAGTGTGTGTGTGTGTGTGTGTGTGTGAGTGTGTGTGTGTGTGTGTGTGTGTGTGTGTGTGTGTGTGTGTGTGTGTGCGTGCGCGTTTGGCAAGCATGGCAAGCAGATTGCTGAGGAACAGATAGAATGCTCTCTGTGAGTTAGCTCCTCTGACTTCGTGTTTTTGTGTCCACTCAAAAATAGCCTCATAGTGTATGTCAATTTTTTTTATTTGGCTCCTCTGATCTCGCATGTGTCTGTATGTTTTTGTGGGTGGCGTTCTGGCAAGCAGACTTTTGAGGAACAGAGTGAATGCCCAGCAATCAAGGGAGAGGAAACGACAACGCATGGAGGTATGGTATGATGTGACCTAATTGTTATGTATGTATGTCATCTCCATGGTGAGCTATGCACGCCACATTGGTGATGTAGTGTAAGCATGCACAAGCATGCACTATTTTTGGAAATCTGCAATCTCACATTTGCACTTGTCCTAGTCTTATAGTCTAAGGCGCGGTACATGTAATTTGCTTGTGACGACCTTGAATATTAGCTAGATTGAATGTGGTACATGCAAAACTGTGACGTGTGAAGCATAGTGGTGGTAGGAGCATGGATGCTTATCCTCCTTTCCTGCTTCCTTTTCTTCCTACATTATGCCATGCCATGTCGTTCCATGCCATGCCATGTCGTGCCATGCTTATCATGCTACACTGTCATCAGAGCTTAGAGGAGCAATGCGAGGCGAAGGAGAGGGAGAAGGAGGATCTGGAATCGAGGATTGCTGCAGTGCAGCAGGTGAGAGAGGGGCAACGCTATGCCATGCCATGCCATGCCATGCCATGCCCTGTCACATCACGCTGATCATCAGGGCGTTAAGGAGGAGTGTGAGGCGAAGGAGAGGGAGAAGGAGCAGCTGGAAGGGAGGATTGCTGCAGTGCAGTAGGTGAGTGAGGGGCAACGTCGGTTGTGTCCAAGAAAGGGTCATAGGTGGTTATTCCGGTGCATTATTATTACTATCAGGGCCTAAAGGAGGAGTGCGAGGCGAAGGAAAGGGAGGAGGAGGTGGAAGGGAGGATTTCTGCAGTGCCGCAGGTGACGGTTAATAAGGGGCAGTGATGCATTAGGTGGGGGGTTACTCAAAGGCAGTAGTGCAGCAGGTGAGGGAGGGTTAATGAGACAGGTGAGTGGGGGTTAATGAGACAGGTGTTTGGGGGTTAATGAGACAGGTGTTTGGGGGTTAATGAGACAGGTGAGTGGGGTTTAATCAGACAGGTGAGGGAGGGTTGATCAGAGAGGTGGGTGAGGGCTAATCAGACAGGTGAGGGAGGGTTGATCAGAGAGGTGGGTGAGGGCTAATCAGACAGGTGAGTGGGGGTTAACGAGACAAGTGAGTGAGGTTAATCAAACAGGTGAGTGCGGGTTAATCAGAGAGGTGGGTGAGGGGCAACAAGGCAGGTGAGTGAAATGGAGGCGGATGAGGATTACTACATGTGTAACGTGTGTTCATACGCTCATTTGAGACGTCTCAAAAAACAACTTATGAGGCGTAAAAAAAACAGGGCAGGTGAGGATCAATACATGTGCATGTGAAGCAGGTGAGGCAAGTGTAATGTGTTCAGACGTACTTCATCGCATATGCATGTGTGTATGCATGTGCCTTCACATATGCATGCTTTCACTCACATATCCATGCTCGCATGCATGCTTTCACATATCCATGTTTGCGGTCATGTTTTCTCATATGTGTAAAATCCATACAAGTTTTCATACTACATACGCAAGTGTGTGCGCGCATACTTACGTGTGTGTGCGTGTCTATATGCATGTGTCATCACACCTGCATATATGTATGCTTCCGTGTCAATATGTGCTTGCTTGCATTAAAAAAAAAAACAAACAAACAAACAAACAAACAAAAAAAAAAAAAAACAAAAAAAAAAATTTTACTGTGCCCTAAACGTGCATGTGCATGTATGCCATTCAAGTGTAGTTTTTTTATCGGATATGTACTGTATGCAAAAATGTCTGGGTGATTCTCTCCTTCGAAGGGAGCTTGTCTAATTTTTTTTGTGTAGTTCTTTCTCCCTTTTTTATGTGTGTGCATTTTCTATAATGTATGTATGCATGTTTCTCTAAGGGACCGGCTAAGGGATACAGTGATCGCTTTGCTGGAGGCAACCAGTGGATTCGATACAAGCACATCCAATACAAGGATGTTCAATACAAGCACACTCAATACAAGCTTGCTCAATGCAAGCAGCATCGGCATAGGCACATATACTGTACGTTTCCTTCGAACGAAGCGCCATCCTTTCAGTGCTAGACCCTGCCCCATGCACCCTTGACTTTTGAGTCGACTCAAAAGTCACCTCTTCCTCTGAACGAAGCGCCATCCTGTCAGTGCTCGACCCTGCTCCATGCACCCTTGTCTCGGACACACCGTGGCACACGCACTCACTGCACACAGACACACAGACACACAGACACACAGACATACAGACACACATCGCACACCCATGCACGCACTCACAATGGCATCTCAGATACACCAACAGAGCATCAACAAATGCTCGACCCTGCTCCATGCACCCTTGTCTCGGACACCATGGCACACACACTCACTGCACACATGCACACAGACACACATCGCGCACCCACGCACGCACTCACGATATCATCTCAGTTATACCAACAGAGTGTCATCAATGCTAGCACCTGCTCCATGCACCCTTGCCTCTGACACACCATGGCACACGCACTCACTGCACACAGACACACTCAGACACACACACACACACACACACACACGCACTCACTGCACACACGCACACAGACACATAGACACACATCGCACACCCATGCATGCACTCACAATGGCATCTCAGTTATACCAACAGATCGTCATCAGTGCTACCCTTGGTCCATGCACCCTGGTCTCTGATACACCATGGCACACGGACGCACTGCACACATGGCACACAGCTCACACCTGTACACACCTGTACACACCTGTACACACCACTTCAAATTTGACTCAAAAGTCTGCACTAATAGAGGTGACTTTTGAGTCGACTCAAAAGCCACACTCACTGCACACATGGCACACGCACTCACTGCACTCGCTCTCACTGCACTCGCTCTCACTGCACTCGCACTCACTGCACTCGCACTCACTGCACTCGCACTCCCTGCACTCGCACTCCCTGCACTCGCACTCCCTGCACTCGCACTCCCTGCACTCGCACTCCCTGCACTCGCACTCACTGCACTCGCACAGCTCACTCACACCTGTACACACCACTTTGAAGTCGACTCAACACTCAGCACTCACAGACTCATCATCGCATCTATACCAACGCATTCATTTTTCTAAACTCATCTATTTCTCCCAACTCATCTATTTCCCCCAACTCATCTCATTCACCCCATCTCATCTCGCTATTCCCAACTCATCTCGTTCGTCTCGACCCCACTCATCTAGCTTCTCCTTGGGATTAACTACCTTATCGATCAATCATGACATATCACGTTCTTACATTCTCTTACTCCAATCCCCTTTTCCCCTCAAAATCATTCCACTTCCCCTGCAGCAGCAGCAGCAGCAGCAGCAGCAGCAGCAGCAGCAGCAGCAGCAGCAGCAGCAGCAGCAGCAGCAGCAGCAGAAGCAGCAGCAGCAGCAGCAGCAGCAGCAGCAGCAGCAGCAGCAGCAGCAGCAGCAGCAGCAGCAGCAGCAGCAGCAGCAGCAGCAGCAGCATAATCCTTATTCATGAGCGTTTTCAAACACTTGTATCTGCACACGTTCCATACCCCTCCTCCCCATCATCCCTCCTCCCCATCCCCATCCTCCCCACCCCCCACTTCCCCGTCGTCCCTCCTGTGCTCCTGCCATCCGCTCAGGTCCCTTCATAACGCCCTTGGTCAATGCTAGGTGACTCTTCTCTCCCTCTCTCTAATGGTCCTTGCATCTCCCTCTCTTGCCTCTTCCTGCACTCTCTTTTCACCACTGTCAATTCCACCTCTCTCCTATTCCCTCACTCACCCACCCTCTGCTTTCCTTTCCTCAGCCTCCCTTTCCCCACTGTTCGTTCCACCTTTGCCCTCCCACACTTTCCCTTGCTCACCTTTCACTGCGTGATATGAATCAAGTTGTGAGATGTGTAAATTCTTGCTCTCCTCTCGGCACTTCTCGCCCTTGTTTCCCCCTAGCCAAACATTTGCCTAATTTCTTGCTCACCTTCCTTCCGCCCTCACGTATTTCCAGTTGTCTCTTCTGCGCTACTTGATCGATCTCTTGTTTTGTGCTCCTGTCTTCTCTCCCTCACATTCTCGTAGTATTTTGTCATACTGTTTTCCCCTTTTCCCGTTTGTACCACCAGGAGCAGGAGAATTGACAGAGTTGCAAGCACTGCTGGACAGATTTAGCCTGCTCACTCCAGACATGTACAAGAAAATCGATTATATTGATTATGGAGAATGATGGTGGGGAGGGGTGGGGGGGGGGGGGGGGGGGGGGGGGGGATGCGGGGGTGGGTGATTGGGAGAAGGGGTGACAACCACCCTTTCCAGGAATGTACCGTAATGCAGAATCTGGAAAGCTTGAGAAATCATTGTTGTTATGCTCACCATACGGTATGTCGTTCTTTTATATGCAGTGGATGTTTACTCAAAGAATGAGCTACACAATGAATCTCTGCACTCTATATGTGCAAGAACGTTGCCACTCAAACTGTAAGACTATTTACATCGGTAATCTAAAACTTCTTTACCATGGATAAAATGCGTCATAACATGCAGATACATCAGCAGTGGTAACTGTTAAAAACAGCAATTCTGCAGAACCAGATACCAGTGACCACTATAGCGTACAAAACCGCACTGTACATCTCATTACCGGTATAACAAATTTCACCCAGGTCTGGGAAGTCCCAAAACAATCCCACTTGCGTCCACAAAGATGCGAATGCGATCGTTGCGATACTTCATAATAACTTGATGACTCGGGATAATTTCGATAGTCCAGTTGCACTGCGGCACAGACGACTGGATGTAAGTGCGAGCCGCGTCGCCCGTCATACCCTTCACCTCAGGCCACGACGTCTTGCTGAAAGAAAAGGAGAGATTGATACACGAGATTCAAGAAATTATTGAAGAGTCACGCAATTTGAGGCATGCATGACGAATACGAGACCCGGTTCACCACCTCAAGGCTGTCACTTGACAACCCTAGTACAACTAACAACTCCTTAGTAGTGCGTACTTTGATAGTCCCAACGAACCTGCAGTCGAGTTGCTTTGGGAATTTCGGGGGACCTTTAGCCCTCGGGGGATCTTTAGCCCGCGGTGGAAATACTCGAGAGGAAGCGAGGGGAAGCAGCGACACGGAGAGCAGGAGCAAGGCCAAGACGAGGAAGAGACGGCGATGCTCCATTTGTTGACGGGAGAGGAGAGAGGAATCACGGAACGATTAAGAATCGGGCTCGTGAAACAGAGGAGCATACATGAGACTGAAGATGCTGCTGCTCATATACTGCTCCATCATGAAAATGGGACTCGGAGAATACACGGTGGAATCGAAGCGGTTTGGAAATTGCTCATCCGTTACGCGGCTGAGAATCGGACAGGCGTCGTTTTGCAGGCGTCCTTCCTGTTGAGCCATTCCAAGGACGCTAGTCTGATCTCTCATGTGGACGGTCGCTACAGATAGCTAGGAAAACTAACCGTGGAATTATGGAATATCCCGCGGGCAGCGAGCTTATCCGCTGAGATATTTTGGGAGGAAGTTCTCGTGAGATAGTTGTTGTCATGGGGGAAGTTGTGTGGTCACGATACATAGTTGGCTGATGAATTTGGCGTGGGGGTAGTTGTGTGGTCACTGAAGCTTGGCACATTGTGCAGGCTGCAAAACGTATTTCCAATATAGACTGACCTGATAGGACTGAAGAGCCACAAAGTTGAAAATCGCAAAACAAAACATCCCCCTGACTCGGCAAGAAATGTAGTCCTCAAGGGGCAGACAAACCTACAGTGCTTGCGTAATTTGTGTGAATAGTTGTATAAGAAACTGGAATTTATATTAAAAAAAATATTCTCAATCTCCTGTAAAAGGTTGACCCATATGGCAGAACAATGTGCTGCATTTCATTGAGTCTTAAGTGCACCTGCTTAGAAACGTCCATGTATGGGCTTTACCGCGTACAACCCTGAACGCGTTGCTACCAGGTTTCGCCATACCTCCCTTTGCCGTTCCGTCATGCGGCGAGCGGTAATCGAGGCGGCCCATGCGGCTTGCAGTAGCCTTACGCGCCGATGCCGAGACGTCGCAGATCCGCAGCTCTTCTTCAAATCAGCAGAGATGTTCCGCTTCGCGATCTCGCTAGGTGTTCGCCCTTTCAAGCGAATCAGATGCTTCGACGCGTCTTCACTATTGTTCCTCGCATCTACGGTTCTTCGTAGTCTCAACCGAGCCTAGAGGTTGTCGGTCCCGCAGCAAATTCTGCATCGCATAGCAGATCGCCAGCACTGTCGCATACACTGTCGCCATTCCAAGGGTTCGCCGCTTCTCGCACCAACCACTTCCTCCGTCCATGTGATTTCCTCGTTAGAGACGAGCTCGTTACACGTACGGGTTGCCTTCGCCGCCCAAGCTCACGCAATTGGCCAGCTCAATGGTAGCGCTGATGCTTATATCGCCAATGCTTCTACTTCGGATGTTACAAGTAGCTCTGATGCTAATATCGCAAATGCTTCTAGTGCGGATGTTACAAGTAGCTCTGATGCAAGTTCCGCCAACTCCTTACGGGAAGGGCTGGCGCTGTCGTTCTTGGGGCAATGGCGGGAGGAGTCTGATTTTGAGGCGCCTCAAAGGCTGATGCAAGTTCCGCCAACTCCTTGCGGGAAGGGTTAGCGCTGTCGTTCTTTGGGCCATGGCGGGAGGAAAACGCGGCGGAGATCACCTGCCGCGTTGCGGAGCCCGCATCGGCGCGCTTCAGAGGGGGTGACGGGGGAGCGGGGCGGGAAGCGGAAGAGGGGGCAAGCGGGGAGGAGAAAGGGGGGTAATTAGCAGCGCAGGATGATGGGAGTGACGTGGGCGAAGCGGGGGGGGTTGCGATCAAGGAGCTGAACGCATTTTGAAGTGCAGTGGCGAGTTTGTTTTCCTACATTTTGGTTCAAAGTGCGGAAGAAACGGATAGATGTGAGATGATGACGATGGGTGTGAGACACTGCACGAAACGACCGATTGTTCCACCCAAGCATAGTGAGCCAGTTTTTTACGAGTCTTGGCTCTCCTTAGGTTAGCAATAAGGAATTTTGAGGGCAATCATCCCCTCGCTATAGGCACCTGACGCCTTTCACAGGGTCTATTGATGAGTCGACGTACAAACCTGGTGCAAAGCATTTAGCTACCGGTATTAGAGGTAGTAAGCATTTATGTCCCCGTTATAAGTGCCTGACGCCTTCTACTGGATCCAACACCAGCGGCAGCAGCGGCAGTCACTTGGATGAGGCGCCAGGGCAGCCAATGAACGGCTGTCACGTGGCAGTGGGAGGAAGAGTGGCTGTGCTAGGGCAGGTTCATGGGGCGTTGGGGGAGGAGGGGGGGGAGGAAGGAGGGGGTGAAGGGGGTGAAGGGTGGTTGGTGGTAGGAACAGCTGCTGTGCTAGGGCAGGTCCATGGGGCGTTGGGGGAGGAGGGGGGGAAGGAAGGAGGGGGTGAAGGGGGTGAAGGGTGGTTGGTGGCGGGAACAGCTGCTGTGCTAGGGCAGGTCCATGGGGCGTTGGGGGAGGAGGGGGGGAAGGAAGGAGGGGAGGATGGGGGTTGGTGGTAGAAGGAGGGGAGAAAGGGAGGGTGGCGAGAGGGAAATAAAGGTGGATACTCCTTGCGAATCCAATCCCAATTCCAACAAAAACACCCAGCCCCACACCCAACCCACACCCAAGCCCAAGCCCATCACCAACACCATTCCCAGACTCAATCCCAATCCACATCACGGCCCGAGAGTCCCTGCAACACCCCCGGGCGTGTGAATGCTGTGAATGCTGTGAATGCTGTGAATGCATGAAGTGATGACGACTGCTGGTGATGCGGGCAATATGATTCTCGATGAAACCGCAGGCGAGTTATGACGCTTATGTTGAAATTGCTTTTGAGAATTTCTCATCGGTGAATACGACTGGCAGTGATGCGAGCAGATGTGTATCAGATAATTCTACATGAAACCGAAGGTGCGCTTCCCTTTTCGCTTTCCTCAACCCTCTCTGCTCACTCCTCACTCCTCTCTCCTCTCTCCTCTCTCCTCTCTCCGCTCTCCTCTTTCCTCTTCCCTCTCTCCTATCTCCTCTTTTTATAGCCAGCAGTGTGTCTTACATCCAGCAGTGTGTGCTATAACCAGAGGAAAGTGTTGGGGGAATCGTGGTTTGTTTGAAATCCATTGTGTCACCTCATTAACTAATTTTGAGTCATGAAGACATTGCATGTTGTGCGTGTGTGTGCGTGATGTGTGTGTGTGTGTGTGGTTTGTGTGTGTGTGTGGTGTGTGTGTGTGTGTGTGTGTGGTTTGTGTGTGTGTGTGGTGTGTGTGTGTGTGTGGTTTGTGTGTGTGTATGTGGTGTGTGTGTGTGTGTGTGGTTTGTGTGTGTGTGTGTGGTGTGTGTGTGTATGTGTGTGGTTTGTGTGTGTGTGTGTGTGGTTTGTGTGTGTGTGTGTGGTTTGTGTGTGTGTGTGTGGTTTGTGTGTGTGTGTGTGTGTGGTGTGTGTGTGTGTGGTTTGTGTGTGTGTGTATGGTGTGTGTGTGTGTGTATGGTGTGTGTGTGTGTGTGGTTTGTGTGTGTGTGTGTGTGTGTGTGGTATGTGTGTGTGTGTGGTTTGTGTGTGTGTGTGTGTGTGTGTGTGTGGTTTGTGTGTGTGTGTATGGTTTGTGTGTATGTGTGTGGTTTGTGTGTGTGTGTGTGTGGTTTGTGTGTGTGTGTGTGGTTTGTGTGTGTGTGTGTGTGTGGTTTGCTCTCCAAGGAACCTTTTATTATTATCTTCCCTTTTGCTTGGCAATCTGACAAGCACGTTGTTGAGGAACAGGGTGATTCACCTGACATTGACCACGGGCGTGATGAAAGGGGCTGATGAGTAAGGCCCCAGCAAGCAAGGGAAGCACGCACCATAGGCACGAGTTTACACGAGTTTGGCGAGCGCAGCATGCATGCTTCCATATCCTGACATAGGCACTGTGCCCAAAGATCACACAATCACAATGGTGACTGACATGTACCATGATTTCAATGTGCCTAACGATCACACAATCACAATGGTGACTGACAGGTACCATGATTTCAATGTGCCTAACGATCACACAATCACAATGGTGACTGACAGGTACCATGATTTCAATGTGCCTAACGATCACACAATCACAATGGTGACTGACAGGTACCATGATTTCAATGTGCCTAACGATCACACAATCACAATGGTGACTGACAGGTACCATGATTTCAATGTGCCTAACGATCACACAATCACAATGGTGACTGACAGGTACCATGATTTCAATGTGCCTAACGATCACACAATCACAATGGTGACTGACAGGTACCATGATTTCAATGTGCCTAACGACCACACAATCACAATGGTGACTGACAGGTACCATGATTTCAATGTGCCTAACAATCTTTGTCAGTTTGTGTGAAGATTGAAACAGGAATGAATTGAACTTGGAAAGTGTGAGATACAAATATGAAAGCTGTACCCCTTAGTGTCTACCCCATTACAGCCTACATAGGCTAAGGCATATATATCTGACACACCCCCATAGGCAAAGTGGGGGAGAACTAGGGGTCACAAGACCAGTCAAGCAAAGCAAAGCAAAGAAAGCTCAGGGTGGATCACAACGTCACCACACAGTCTGAGCACAGGTTCAAAGGCCACAAGGCCAGTTCACATGCAAGTTCATATATAAAGGTAAACAAGCAAGTGCAGGTATATATAGATCACAGAACAAGCAAAGTCAAGAGGTAAGCAAGTGAGGCCAAGTAGGCACAAGACCTAGCATAGTACAGAAGCGCTGATGATCACAAGGCTGAAGTGCCTCGGTAAAGATATCAGCAGTGTTGGCCTGAAAGGCCACGTAAGCAAGGCGCAGCTGGCCACGCTGCTGCAGCTCACGAGCAAGGAAGTAGCGAAGAGCGATGTGCTTCGTTCTGTGCTCCAGTCTGTGCTCCCGACACAAGGCCAGCATGGCCTTGTTGTCTACGTACAGAACTGGAGGAGAACGAGGCGGCTCTCCCAGGTCAGTCAGCAAGTAGGTGAGCCAGCGTAACTCCTGTGCAGCCATGGCCCCTGCGTAGATCTCAGCCTCACAGCTGGAGCTGAGAACAGAAGACGAGCGGGTAGACCGCCACGAAACAGAGCCGGAACCAAGGCTGAAGGTGTAACCCT